AAATCGCCACTACGGAAGCGACATGGAGCTCTCCTTCTATCAACTCGAGGCCAGCTTTGGCCCATTTGCCCGTCGCCAAAGCTTCGTTTCCGGGTCTTTGATACCGTGATGGGCGACGAGCGGCAACTGTTGACGGTCCTGACGGATCAGGAAGCGAACCAGCGAAAATGACGATTCCGGCTTGGTCAAATTCCCTGGCGAAGTCAGCCGATACGGTAACTTCCGCTAGGATGAAGGACTGGCGTAGGCGTTTGAGGATCATAGGCGCAGTCGTGTCATCGGAGGCTGAAGGCTTGCGCCAGATGCTTGTATTTGGCGGCGCCTTCAGTGAGAAGTACTCATGCAGGTCTTCGGGTTGTTCAAAATTGGCTGGTACATTGACGGCCACAAAGTCCTCACAGGCGAGCTCCATTATGTAGGACAAATTCGGAATTCGAGCGCGATTGCTGGGCGTGGGGATTGGAGGCTTTGCACTGCAAAGGCCCGTTCGTGGTTGGTAGTAAGAAAGATGAAACGTCAACTGAATTGTGGTCTGTTATTCGAGTCGAGTCGCCGGCTCAGTGGTTGCACAGCAGAAAGCTATTCGCAGGCAGACGAAAAATGACGGCTTCGGGCAAAACGTGGTGTATCTGTCTGAAGGAGTGGATTTCACTGACAGCCACGAACCATCTCACGAGGAATGGCGAGTTGACAACGAGGTAAGGCACTGATAGTTGGTCTAAGCATTTTCAGAAATGTAGGAGCAACATGTCGTGTTTTAAATTCGAGCAGCTGACAAGGAGGGCAACAATAGAGATCCAGTGGCATCAGGATGCGAGCATTTGTCTGTGAGAGGTCATTGCAAGGATATCGGTGGTGAGGGAGGGAACAGAGGTAAGAACGCTGGATGGATGTGGCCAAACTGCCAATATTGCTGGCGATGGAACTGCGTGTGCTAGGCTCAGCAGCTCTTGGACGAATCATGGGGCCCTCACGGATTTGACGGTCCAGTGGACCTGCAGAGGGGAGTATTGCCTCAGGGGAAAGCCACGAGCTGAAGAAAATACCTTGCTTGCATGTTAGATGGAGGTTAGCCATATGCCGATACGTCGCCACGCCCCGGCCGGAATCATCCTGGCCAGCCAATCAACAAGGGTATCACCATGTTCCAATATTAAGTGAACCGGGGAGTTGGGAACTCATGGATGCAACAAGGTTTCCGGGAACCACACACCGCCGGCACAACAAGTGCGAAGCCGGAAGTGGAAGATCGATCATTAATCGCGGAGGCAAGGTGACTGCAGGTACGAGTTACTCTCCATCAAGGGAGTCTAGGTTGTGTTCTCATGACCGGGACCGACCTGTTCAGTCAGTGTCCACCAGTCAGCCAGCATCAGCAATAATTGGGGGCACCCTCCGAGGGCCCCAAAGGGGGTTTTGATAAGGCACGCGGCATGCATTGGGCCTTGCTCTAGTTGCCATCCCACAATAAAGTGCGTGCCACAACTGGGGCCTAATGCTCTTTAGTCTTTAGTATTGGTGACACGGCAGCTGACGGGGAGGGCCGTCTGAAGCGATGGGTTAGCGGCGCCGACTGGCAGCTTCGAGAAGGAAATGATGGCTTCAAATTGGCCAGGGGAATTTTCCGTCTGGGCACAAAAGCAAAGGGACATTTGGCATGTGTAGCGAGTGTTTGGTTACGGAGGAGATGGAGGATGCCGACTAGGAGGAGGACGAGGAGGACAGAGATGGAGGTGGAGGTGAAGTTGATGATGAGGATAGTGATGATGGTGGGAGGATGGAAGGTTCCCTGGTGAAAAGGTTGGGTCAGTGGTGGGTGGTGGTGGATGGCGGATGAGATGACGCTGAGGATCCGAGCGCAGCGCAGTTTCAACCAGTCACTCAATTACCCAGTTTTGGCACGATTGGAGGCTGCGCTTGTCCCTCCCCTCGACCAGATGATCTCGTTTCTCCGCCACCACCACCACCATCGCATGACTTAAACTTGCACCTCCGCTGCCCTACAGCCAGTGTCGGCCTCATTCTCCTTCCTCGTTGAATTAGGCAATGTGATTAGAGGTGGTGTCCGGATAAATGCCTGAGAAAAGTTTGCTGCTCTCGTTTCATTTGCCGCAGTTGGTTGCAACGTGTCTCAGATTCCTGTCCAGCTGAAATTTAACCCAAGTGGCCTCCTCCCCCCTCCGTCGCTCTTTTCAGCTCAAGCATTGACGAAAGGACACTGTCCACGAGACCTTGGTCGATACATTCAGAGAGGGTCACGACTCGATGACTGAGCTTCCTGTATTGGAAGGCGGAAAATGGTACTCTTGTTCACTGCGCTGCAGACAACTAGAGTATGCACATCGAGGAATCATAGATAATCTCTTCACTTCTTCCCTTTTCCCTTCTTCTTTTTGTTAGCACCTCCGGTAGAGGCTGTGACCACTGTAGCAGCACTGGGCTTCGCATCGACGTTCAACGATTCATCCACTGCGCCACCCTGCGTTCGATCATCACTCCCACCTCCTCCTCGCTTGCCTTTCTTCTTTCCCTTGGGAGGGCGATAATAGCTTCTGTCTCTCATGGGAAGCCACCGCTCGGGATCCGGTTTCTTGCTTTCATCATAGTCCTTCGGCAATCTCGATTTCCGAACACGTTTAGGTTTCAGGTTGCCACCCTCCGGAGCGCTCCGTTTCCTTGTCCGGCCTAACTGTGCTATTGTGAGGGCATTTGACGACTGTGGGATACCGGTATTCTCCAAAAGATCGGTGTCGATATTGCGAATGAGCTCCGACGTAGCCGTCAGCTTATCAGTATCCGCCCCAGCCACAGCCTCGTCATCCCAGGCATGTGATGCCACGTAACCGGCAATTGTAGCCTTGTCGTTCGGTTGTTGCTCGCGAAGCTTGGTAAAGATATCGCATGCAAGTTTCAAATCCTCGTTGGACTGTGATTCCAACAGTGACACTCCTGCAGCGGTGAGCAAACTTGTCGGTGCATTCGATTTAGTCCGCCAATAAGATGCAGCTCTGGCAAGCTCCTGCTTGACATGTTCTTTCTGGCCTCGAGCCTTGTACAAACTGATCATAAGACTCACAAGCATAGGGTTGAATCTGATGTTTTGCTCGCCCTCAGCGACAGAGCTCTCCAGTCTCTTCAGCAATGACTCGAATAATTCGACTGCGGAGGTGATGTCTCCGCTCGCCACGTACAGCTGCACTAGGGTGATACTCAGCCCAATGTCGGTTGGCCGTTTCTCAAGTGTCGGCAATATTTTTCGGATCCCAGCTCTGCCCATTGCGTTCTGGGCATAAGCAGCTGCATTGAAAAAGGATGCAAGTAGTGCATTGGTTGACAGAGAAGGAGAAGTGCATTCTTTGAGGGCTTTAGATGTAGACGCGACAATGCCACCGAATTTGAAAGTCTGTAGATCGATAGTGTTTCTGTTGGATTCCAGAGGGACGCTCTGGTACGAGAAAAGCCGATCATTTGGTGGGACGTTGGGAGTCGAGTGGAAAATCTTGTGCGCGAGAAATTGGTTGGACACAGACGAAGCCAGTAGGACATTATTCTGACCAACTGTTCGAGTCGAAAGGTCAGAGGCTTGCGCTGCGTCAATTTCACCGGCTAGGCTCTCTGCTTCTGCTGTTTTGCCCAAAGATAGCAGCACAAACAATTGCTGGATCGAAATGGGAAGGAGCTCGTCAGCCTTTTGCTGGTCTGTAAGATCATCCGAGTGTTTACACAGTTCCTTTGCCCGCTTGAGGAGAACTTCGGCCTGAGCATATTCTCCTCTCGCAATGCTACCGCATGCGGCATTATACGCGGTTTCGAAGGCTTCAAGATCTTCTCTTCCAACTCTTCGTATTGATTGGAGATCGGCAAGACCGAGCCACTGCGCTTGTGCATCGATAGCACCCTGGTTCACCTTTAGATCATATTGCTCCGAATCGACCTTTTGACTCCGTAGGCGCTTGTATAGTTCCGAAGGAATGTTTGGGTCTTCAAGACGGTATCGGGCCTGTGCCTCGACATGCTGTGCCCCTCTCCCCTTCACCGTTGCCGCCAAATCCGCAGCCTCTTTTAGGCGGCCAGTCTTGTACAGGGCGTAGGCATACTCGAGTTCAACCTTCTTTTTCAACCCAACAGTATCTTCAATGAATTTCACAGCATCCTCGTAACGGTCGAGTTTCAGGAGGGCGACGACTTTGACATGTTGGGTTTCCGGACCAGAGCCCTTTGAGGACTTCAATGCTTTGTTACATTCCGTGAGAATCTGCTCATGGTCTTCGAGGGTTGACTTTTTGAGGAGGGAGGACAGAGTGGAGGGAAGTGAGGCGGACATGCCGCTGGTGAATAGGACTGAGGTAACCAAGTTTCTATCGCATGCCTCGTGATGGCCAAGAAGGGGACATCTAGTCAAGGAGAAGGGCAATACATCTTCTGTTAATGAGAGGTGGCTCGTTTCTCTAGAGGTTGAGCGAATGGACTCTATCGTGGGGCCAAACTTGTCCTGTGAAAATGCCAGTGAATTTCACCCCACACAATCATTTCCCCAAATTCCTCAATCAGAAAGTTGCCCTCTGAGAAGACGAGCACACGACTCTCTTGACGGAGCCCTATTAGCTACTATTGAGGTAGGAAGAATGTCTGGGAGACAAGGCGCTCAAATACGCCATCAAAGAAAGATGCCGTGATAGAGTGCGCAGTGTGCAGTGCGCCCAATGATCAAGTTTGAGTGCCGCCATTTTCTATTTCGTCAATCGGTCGAACTGTGTTTGCCTTTCTATGACTCTTACAAGTTCAAAAGATCTTCAACGGGTTTCTCTTCCCTCTAACTCTTGCAGCAAACAAGTCACCTTGAGTATTGCAGTGAATCGCAGCCTCTGATTCTCAAGTGAATGTCCACCTTCTTCCACAGTCTGTTTGGTCTATACAACAAAGTTTTATGTCGCCCCGTCAAGCTGCTACATGCCCCTGTCTCGCCGCGCGGTCCGTTCTCTCGAACCTTGTCATATGCCATGGATATCAACAGTGGCAACTTCTCAGAAGAAGTCCTCAAAATTATTCAGCATGTCGCCGACAGCCGTTTCATCGCCCTTGATCTGGAGTTCTCGGGTGTCTCTGGAAGGAGGCCTGGGGGTCGCTCGGGCAAGCTTGATTTACACGAGTATTATCATGACCTGAGATCGGCGGCACAGATCTACCAGGTCTTACAGGTCGGTTTGACTATTGTGAGCGAGGATGTCGAGAAAGGTACGTGTTTGACCGAAATCTGAAATTCACGTCCCTGAATTCCACCTTGTGAGGGCTTGATGTATGTGAAGAGCGAACCATAGATGTCCCTGACCCATCACCCCGCCTTTCGCAAGGATACTGAAAAGGACAACTATCTGCTGGTTTGTCGGGCTAACAATTCTAGGACGATATGAGGCGCGGCCCTATAATTTTCATCTCAGTCCACTCCCCGCCACCAAAGAATCAGTCTTTACTCGGGCATGGTCATACAACAGTGGTGGTACGATGGTAATGAGCCTGTTGGTCCTCAGCAATGGCTGACCTGACTAGCAATCTCTTTCCTGCTACGCAATGGATTTAGCATCGACAAACCCATCCTACAGGGTATTCATTATCTTTCTCGGCAAGAGGAGGATCAAGTGCGCAAGAGATTGACTGAAGACGAACAAATGAAATCGAATATATCCGACATGACACTCAAGGAAGAAGACTCACCCCTGGTAGAACATATCAAACAGTCGATTGATGAGTGGCAGACCTTACCCAAGGACAAGCAAGAAACCTATCTCAATATTCCCACAGAAGACGCCGAGGAGCCCATACCTTCCATACTGAATCGCTATCAGATTCGATTGACCCACCAGATCGTCAGGAACGAATATCCAAACCTAAAAACCCAAGGAATGGGTCATTTTGTCCAAATCACCAATCCTACATTCAAACAGCAGGCCAACGAGAGAAAAGAGCGTGAGAAAAGACGCGAGGCAGAGATAGCGAATGCTATCGGACTCCGCTGGATCTTGGAAGCCATCATCGGCGGCGACATCACTAAACTTCCACATTACTACGTGATAGCAGGGTTTCCCCCGGAAGATCAACCCAAGGACGTGCAGGCTCTTCTCAACCAGCTCCAGAAGAAATTGCAAAGCCAGTCCCGAGCTCTTGTCGGCCACAACTGCTTGACAGATGTCATGAATCTGTATCGGTGTTTCATCGGCGACCTCCCGGAGAAAGTGGAGGACTTCCGTGCAAGGCTCCAGGAACTGTTTCCCGTCATCATCGACACCAAATACGTTGCAGGTCTGGGCAGCAAGCGATGGGCGGACACGTCCCTTAAGGCTGTTGAGAGCGACTTGGCTTCTGTGGTACTACCTGACATACATTTGCCACTCAATTTCGACCGCTATCTTTACGCTGCCAATTATCATGAGGCTGGATTCGATAGCTTTGTGACGGCTAAGATTGGGCTGAAGCTGCCTGCCAAGCTGAAAAGAGAGCAAAAGGATGTTGAATCTCTGGTCAAGGGCTCTGGTGGTATAACACAGGAGAGTGCAAGCGGTATATCGGGAAAAGGTGCCGATCAGCCAGCGAAAGAAACCAAGGCAGGACAAGATGGCCACATGCAAGGCATGACACAAACGCTCGTCAGCATCATCAAGTCTCCGGTAAGCACGGTTACATCTATCTTGACACAAACACCAGATACGGTCGACCAAGGTTCCACCATATCTATGGCAGCCAGGTCACCACCCAGTGAAATGGACCAGAAAATGGCCAGCACCAGAGTTGTTGTGGCCAGGGAGAAATCAAAGCCGGCTTTGGGGTCCAAAGGCGAGCTCCAGAAACTAAGGATAATGTCGAAGAGAGCCAACATCTTCGACATTCTTGAAGACGACGATACGGAAATCTCAGAGGAGCAACTCAAAATCAATCAACAGCGGAGAATTGCAGACTTGGTGGAACAAGGTCGACTGTTACCGAGATGGGAAGAGGATGCAGCGTTTTGGCAGCTGATCAGCAACAAGTTGCAGGCAAATGCAACCCAAGAAGGCATACTGGATCTTACGAAGCATTGAATCCCATCAATGAGTGTTTTAGTAGTCATGTAGATGCTTCGGTACTTAGGCAAGCAAGCAAGTCAGACACTGTGGCCCTTGATCCTGATGCCGAGGTTCAAGCGACCCGAAATGTGTAAATCCAAGGTCCGTGACGAAACTCTTTATGGGGTTGATCATATTCTCCTCAACGCCGACCACCGACTTGGCCTACACTCATTCTCCAAGTAATTGCCAGCCGTGTTTCTCTAATCCATTCTTGAGCGCCCTCCTTGCTGCGTGTTCAAGAGAAAAATCGTCATGTCAATAGGCACGGATTCCCAGTCAAGCTCCCGCGACCTCTCGTCGTCAATCTCGTCACTCAACCAGTCGAGCAAGCGGACGTCATCCGAGATCTCCAAAATCTACAAGCATGCCTCTCAACTTTTTCTCACGCGCCGTTTGCTGGAGGCATACGAAGCCCTACAGCCTGTGATCACACCCTCGAGCCAAAAAAGGCCGGATGACAGCCCGGCTCTCGCACCCATCGCGACTGCGACCACCAGCCAGCGCATCAAGATCTGGAGCTTATACGTCACGCTTCTGAACTCCATCGTTGACCTTGGGTACGAAGAGGGGAGACAGGTGTTTGGGCCCAGAGAATACAAAGAGATTGTCAGGCGCGTACAGCACGGCGAGATCTGGGAGCAGGTCGTCAAGGACGGATATCAGGGCAGAGAGGGCTCGGTTGATGCGGAAGTTGTCTACAACTTGTATGGGAGCTCCTTTCCCCTGCTCCGTGTTGAACTTGACATTACTAACACGATCAAAAGGTCAAATCTCCTGCTTTCACAAGCCCCGGACCAGAAAATCAATCAATCTCGACTCGAAACCTACTTTTCGTCCTCTTCACAGCCAGATCTCGACCTCTCCGCCCACCTTGACCACGCTCTGAGCAATGGTCACCAACATTCCTCGGGAATGAATGGTGCCAACACCCCCAAAGATCTCACTTCACGCATAAAAGTTCTCGAAATATTCACGCTACATGTGCTACCCCGAAATGGCGAATGGGATTACGCAAAGAGTTTCATTTCGAACAGTGATATCTTAGACGAGGAGAGACGGGAAGCATTCATGCAGACTCTGCAGGAACTCCAAGATGTCACGGAAAGAGAGTCTAGTCTTGAGGTTGCGGACGAAGACGTCTTCGAGGATACAGAAGAAATATTCTCAAAGCAGGAAGGAACCGGCACTGATGATAAAACAATGGAAACGGTTTCTCCGTCGCAAAGTGGTGCGTCCAAACACCAAAGGACGAGTAGCGAGGTTGACTACGGGATCGAACGAGCACATCCCAACGGCGGTACCCATACAGCAGCAACCAAGGACCAAACAGCAGCTATTGCCTCCTCGCCCATGACCAGCCTTCCTCCTCAACCCGTTCCAAATCCACGGTCGCCCCCACCGCCTGGTCCTCCGAGTTCATCAATACAGGGCCGCACCCACTTCTCGCCTCCTGCACAAACTCCCCGCCGTCCAGCCAGCCGAAAGAATTCCAAAGCTTCCTCACAGAATGCACTAACGGCACAAGCCCGTGAGCTCTTCCTCGCTCTATCGAATCTAGTCCGCAATCTCGCCACAACCCTTCAGAAGAATCCTACGGCAATGCTGCGATTCCTCCTTTTTGTTCTAGCGTTTGTGATGGCATTTTCTCAGAGGCAGATTCGCGAGAAGACGCGAGAAGCAGTGAGGCGGGCATGGGAAAAGTTGCGGGGAACTCTTGGGATGGGGGTCAAGGTCAGCTATATTTGAGGAGGGGGTTCAAAAGCGAAAAGACTCAGAAGACTGAAGAAGTATACTATAATGGAAACGGGAAGAGACAAGCGCCACAGATCAAGGCTATGAAACCTGGACAAATGGTGGGCTGGGTTTTGGGAGATTTCTTCTAGGAGGGTGGTGCACACTGGATGCATTCTCCTCCTCCTTCTTTACCGCGGGTATATCGCGCGTTTCTCATCATCAGCATAGGGTGGTGTACATACATGTTACTGTGGTGGCTTTCCCAGTACTCGATAGTTCGCCTGTCAAACTATGTTGTGATTCGAATGACCAGGCTGCTATGATGTGACGTGATGTGACGGGACTGGTATGTATGTATGTAGTTTTACTCGGTACTCGGTATTCGATGCAAGTACTCGTACCTCTTGCTCTGTTTTTTCCGTGCAACATGTCACATTATCGAAACGAGGGATAGGGACATTGTAAATATACATGTACATTGTATTCGACAAGAAAAACCCCAGGGATTTCGAAACCCTTCCTCCCAGAAACCCAACGGTAGCCCCTAGAAGATCCCCCTCCCGTCAGAATGAGTTAAATCTTTGCATCATCACAACCGCTACCAGCAGGCTCCTTCTTGCGCATCCCATCGTTACCACCATGTCACACTGTCCGCCGTCCAGCACAGGTCAACAGGCGGGCCCCTCCTTTGCTGCGTCCTGGTCACCACACGGCCCGGGAACCATAGCTAGCCAGCATTACACTTGGGTTACGAACTACAAGAATAACCCCAGGCGCTCTGAAAGCGACAGAGTCAAGTGGGAAAAACAAGGCAAAGAGCAGCAGAAGGCTAGATAGTCATCCGAAAAGCGTAAACACCTTGCAGTCCCGTGGACATGTTCTACTTGCTCCCCACATCACCAATTTGCTGTACTCCGATCTGAACGCCTGCCTTCTCCAGCCGCTCGAGGTAATTGTCGCCCAGGCAACTCGGCGTCAAGAATCCCGCACCGTGGCTCTTCTTAATCTCTTCCTCCTTTGTCAAGATGACCATGGCGGCCTCGCTGATCAACAGGGCGGTGAGAGCATAGATTCCACCCTCATACCGGAAACTGGCCAAAGCCTTGCGTTGGTTCTTGGCGAGCTGCTCGGCGACGGCGACGGCGCGGAGTTCTAGAACATCGCCCTTGGTTGATTCCTTTGTCGGGCCTGAGCCTGGTTTGTAAGCGGCGAACAGTTTCAAGATGGCTCGCGTAGGGGGAAACGCAAGCATCAAGACCAAGACAGTGACGGCGATGTGAATCAACACGCCGACCAAGGGACTTGCCACCGCCATGTACTCCTCGTACGTGAAATTGAAGCCGTAGAAGTAAGGCGTCAAGCCAGCGGAGCGGTGGACTATGGCCTCGTTGGGCTTGGCGGTGATGGAAGTCGTCAAGTGGCCCAGGCGTGGGTACTTCCAGACACCCGTAAGTTTCTGCAGACCAGTGCGTGCGTACGTGTTTGGTTCGGGGTTGCGTGGGTAGATGGTATCCTTGGTGTAGGGCCGTAGCTGGGAAGGAGACAGAACAAAGGGGTCGCTAAGACACTGCCTCATCACCTTCGCAGGATAGTGGTCGGCCAATCCCAAACCAGTGGCCAAGGTGCCGCCACTAGGTCCAGAGGACTTCAACTCGTGCACCGAGGCGACCATGTCCATGACACCGCAATCCCAGACTTTGCGGATCAAACGAGTGGCTATATAGGCAACCAGGTCGGACGGTGCCGATTCAACGCCTACTTCGGGAATGATGATGGCTCCGGTTTTCTTGGCCGTATCGTCGTACTTGACAATGATATCGCGAACCCATGGAGTCTCGCCAGTCACGTCAAGATAGTGTGTTCCCTGTTGAGCACATGCTTCGACCACGGGAGTCGAGTAGAGGTGGTAAGGTCCCACGGCATTCAAGAGCACCTTGGTCTTCTTGACCAGAGGAGTCAATTCAGGGGAGGTCAAGCTGGCCACAGTGATGATGTCGGGAGAGTTGCGCGTCGAATTCAGGGACTTCAGCTCACTGACCAAGGACTGGAGTTTGGATTGATTGCGTCCAGCCACGGCCCATGTGATGTTGGTGGGAAGGTTGGTCGTGATGTACTCGGCAATCAGTTTGCCAGTGTAGCCCGTAGCCCCCAGGAGGATAATGTCATATTGACGACTGGCAGCAGCAGCCATTGTGAGGCGAGGTGATCCGTCTGGATGTGGAAAAAAGGAGGTAGAGACAGACACGCAGCCGTCCCGGGAAGTGAGAGGGAGAAGTGCAGGTACTTTAAGGAACGTGGAGAAGAAAAGAATACAAGAAGTGGAATCAAAATAAAACAGAGTCTCGACAGCGCCAGCAATGGTCAGCAATTGAGATATTCGTTGGATGGATACAGTGTAGAAATGAAGGCCAAGGTGTCGTCTTTTTTGGGGGGTTGATGGGAGGGAGGGACAGAGGAGTAGAAGCGGGACCCACGAGTCCACCACGCTAAAGACGCGAATGGAGCTGAACCAACGTGCGAATAGAGACCACAAAGCGATCAAGGTCGTTAAACAGAGAACACAGACTGAGGGTTTTGGGGCCTTTGAGACGGGCAGGGCGTTAGTCTTTTAGCTCGATTGGTTGCCCAGCCGAGCACTAATGGCGGGATTAAACGTGGCTGGAGCTGGGCGTTGGCTAGGTACTCCGACCCCCAATCAATGTAATCAGGGTGAACGCAGCGCGCTGTGCTAAGTATCTACAAAGCCTATTTCCCCTTACTGCCTTATACCTAGGTAAGGTGCCTAACTACCTATACGAGGCACATTAGGGGCTGCCTTTGCGTAGGTACCTGGGCACCTACCTTACCTAGTACCTACTGTGGTGGAAAACACTAGTGTGCGCCCAGAGAAGGGGGGGGGCCTTGCTTGCTGGGAGCCTCTCACTCTAGGCGGGAGCGATACGGAGTCCTGCCCCCAACACAAGGATATTTTTGGCATCTCCTAATAGGCTTGTCAGGAGTCAGAATGTCCGGGACCAATGCACATGCAGCATCACAGTTATACAAAATTTGCTTGTCGGAAGGAGTCCTGGACGTCCACACATACTGTGCACACCACGCGCAGAGGGGTACACACCAAAACTCATGGGACTTTCCCCGTATTACTTGTTATGTGTTCAAAATTCTCCACCATTTAGAGAAGGTGGAATGATATGTGGCATGAATAATAGTTTCCAGTGTTCCAGATATGGGTCGTGAAT